GACAGCACTCACAACAGGACATTATCACTACACTGCCTAAGAGCAGAGATCATAGCTAAAATCTAATGCCCAGCACAATGCCTAACATGTCATAGGAGCATAATAAATATTAAAATATAAGGAACTATCTATTAGGTAGTTCAAGCAAAATGACAAGAAGGGGACCAACCAAGGGCAGGAACCAGATTCATCATATAAAAAAACTAGGCTTAAGGGGCTGCTATGTTTCTCAATATTGGCTCAAGCCCCTAAAAACATGCTTTGGATCAGAGCTTCACAAACTTTAACATTCATGACAATTCATCCTGGGATCTTGCCAAAATGCAGATTCTGATTCAGTGGTTGTAGGGTAAAGCCTGAGATTTTGCATTTCTAACAAGTGATTCTAACAAGTGACACAAATGCTGCTGATGTGGGAACTACGTTTTCTGAGGACTAAAAAGGTGTTAGATAACGTATTTCAATAATACTCAAAACATTTCAACTCATAGATAACCTCAAATATTACCATTTCAATATTTAATGTCTTCACTAAAAGCAATCCTATACATTACACTCAATCACTTTTCAGAGCTTCAGATTCCACATAAACAATAACTAGTCTTCAATCCATCTGCCACAGGTGTAAGAATAAATTTTGGTGAAAAATACTGATGGTTTAGGATGAAAGACAAAGTACAGTAAGTTTATAATTACTTAAATCAGTGTATTCAGCTTGCTCATCACCAAGAGATTTATCTTTCTTTCATAAATATTTACTCAAATACTTAGAAGTCTGTGTGCTTCTTAGTTATACAGAAAAACCTTACATTCCTACCTTTTTTACTTGAAACTAAAAGAAAACACATGGATATGTCAACTCTTGTAGAAATTCCAAAGTATTTTTCTATAAAGCTCTACCAAGGACTAGGCAAAGAGATAAAATTTATGTTCCCAAACCTGTTTGTATAGTTAATTGTGTTTATGCTGTGCTTGGTAATTTCCTTATCAAGGTAATTAAATGTTTCAACATGAGTTACCTCATCAAAGAGGTAATGACCAACATAAAAATATACGTTACTCTCAGTCAACTCTGACTATTCTAAACTTTTGTTTATACAACGGATTTAGCCAACCTGGACATAATGTGTGCTATGAGAAGTTAAACCCAATTGACTTTTGCTATAAATGTTTCTTATATGCTGACACAGAGGGATTACGTTGTTTGTGAACAGATATATTTTACTTAAAACTACCTGCTTGATGGTGGCGCATGCCTGTAATCCCAGCACTTTGGGAGGCTGAGGTAGGCGGGTCATCTGAGGTCAGGAGTTTGAGACCAGCCTGGCCAATATGGTGAAACCCCGTCTCTACTAAAAATACAAAAATTAGCCAGGCATGGTGGTGCACACCTGTAATCTCAGCTACTCAGGAGACTGAAGTAGGAGAATTGCTTGAACCTGGGAAGTAGAGGTAGTAGTGAGCTGAAATCATGCCACTGCACTCCAGCCCGGGTGACAGAGAGATTCCGTCTCAAAAAAAAAAAAAAAAAAACTATGTCCGGCTGTGGCTCACACCTGTAATCCCAGCACTTTGGGAGGCCAAGATGGGTGGATCACGAGGTCAAGAGATCAAGATCATTCTGGCCAACATGGTGAAACCCCATCTCTACAAAAAATACAAAAACTAGCCAGGCACGGGGGCACATGCATGTAGTCCCAGCCACTAGGGAGGCTGAGGCAAGAGAACAGCTTGAAGCTGGGAGGCAGAGGTTGCAATGAGCTGAGACCGCGCCACTGAGATCACCAGCCTGGTGAGAGCAAGACTCCGTCTCCAGAAAACAAAAACAAACAAACAAAAAACGATGTGCTTGTTGCTTAGTCTTCATTTGTAAACAAGAAAACTTTATTAATTTGCTGAACAAAGTCCTTAGTCACAAAACAAGGTAAAGATAAAATATCCTCTTAGAATTCAAATTGGAAACCATGGTTATCTTAGCACCATATGAAAACCACCTGACGTATGTGGTATACATGTATGTGTTATGTGTCTATGTGTATGTGTATAGACCTACACAGTCAGCCCTCCATAACCATGGAGTTCTGAATGAGGCTGGATTCAACCAGCCTCAGATTGAAAATATTCAAGAAAATAAAAAACTGTGTTTCTACTGAACACATACAGATAGTTTTTTCTTGTCATTACTTCCTAAACAGTATAGCACAACAACTATTTACACAGCACTAACATTGTGCCAGGTATTATAATCTACAGATGACTTAAAATATATGGGAAGATACGTGTAGGTTATATGCAAGTACTACACCATTTGTATGAGGGCCTTGAGCATCTATGGATTTTAGAATCCAATGCAGGTCCTGGAACCAAATCCCCACTGATACTGAGGGAACATGAATCCGTGAAACAAAATCATATTTTCTAAGGCCCTAGACATTTCATGAAGTTTTTTTAAAGTCTGGGGCAAAAACAACATGTTTTAACTAGTACTCATTAAATTCAAACCAAAGGATTTATTGAGAATCTACTATATGCAACACTGGTTTAGGACCTCATGAATAAGAAAGAAGTACAGGTTAAACATCCCTAATCTCAAAATCCAAAATCTGAAATGCTCCAAAATCAGAAACTTTTCGAGTCCCAATATGACACTCAGTGAAGAATCTCATTGGAGCATTCTAGATTTCAAATATTTAGATTAGGAATATTCAGTGAGTATGTACTCTGCAAATATTCCAAAATCAAAAAAAAATCTGGAATCCAAAACACTTCTGGTTCTAAGCACTGCAAATAAGGTATACTCAACCTGTATATGTCATAGTCCTCGTGCTAAGTTTTACGTATTTTTTAACCAAACATTGTATATAATAAAATTAAGTTAATTTCAATAAATAATTATACTTTCCAGAAAGCATTTCATTGCATCTTCAGCATTTCTATTCCAGGACACACTTATCTGAGGAAAATAAAAATAATTTACCTGGTTCAGTAAGTAAAGAATCTTTGTAAGAATATGCAAACATCTTCTTGGATTGATGGGAGTTTCATTGAATATACGAGCCTATGAAAAAAACAAAAAAAAAATATATGTTTCCACCTTTTCTATCACAGATTATAGCAAATCAACTTTAATAGTTTTTAATCACAGTGTCCAAAGAATATTGTGTATAGTTCTCAATTTACTAAAGTATCTGATAAATTATTAAACACGGCCTTGATTTTCGTTCCTCTACTTTCTAACTCACTCCATTAGGATGACTACTTCAACTTTATGGGTTATACCAATTAAATAAGGATCACAATGCTTATCTATATCATACAATAACTTTGTACTAAACACCTTTTCTTATATAAAATTCCCAACCTGTGGCAAAGCCTTCATGCCTTTGCATTTCTACAAGCTCTAAATTCTCCTGTGACAAGTAACCTCTCTTCCTTTTCCCTCAAATCTATATTCTCTAACCTCTGTTACGTTCCTTATTTTGGATGTTGTGATCACAGCAGCCCAGGAATTCTCTGCCCACCACTCTAAAACAGAAAAGAAAGAGCACAAGATACTTCCCAGTCATACCTCCTGTAAAACAGCACTCTTCTCCAGATGCTGGAAAGGGTTGGAGCCACTACCTATTTACAAAACAAAACAATGTCTTGAATAGCAGCTGTCCTACACAAACGTATATACTTCCCAGAGAAGGGTATAGAATGCTTGGGAGGTGACCACTGGGATATCACAGTGATAATTGTTGCTACTATGCATACAAACTGAATGAAATCACTTTGACCCTGGCTCTGTCACTGCCATATTTGAAGAGCAGCGACTTCTTTTGCAGCAACCCTCTCCAAAATGAATGTCTTCTTTCCCTGCCCTCTTTTTCCATGAATGTTAAAAATGTGTCATTTCCACGACAACAAAGATTAATGAGATTGTGGTAGGGTGCTTTTGATTTCCTTAGGCACTATTTTGTGTTTCTAGCACTTGAGAGGCAGAAACGAAGTTTCCCAGAGAATCATGCATACGGAAGCCTGCAAGAGGCCGTGGAGGTTGACTAACCCAACCCTCTCTCACACTATGAGAGCTGCTACCAAATACTGAGAATTTTTTCTTTTGAAGGATGCTTCGCATCTTCCTCATTTGCTCTGGACCAACGATGGGTATCAAGACGCAGGTCACTTATGGACGCCTGCGATTCATCGAGCTGTGTCCCACGGGACAGTCTTGCCCCCAGGGAACCGGACAGAGCCAGGGGCCTCAGGAAAACTATAAGGTACCAGGAACCTGAATGTTCCTCCACACACACCCTGTGCCGTCGACCCCAGCCCCGGGAACAGGGTGCTCCCACTCGGGGTCCGACCCTACCAGGACCCCTTGCCGCGGAGACGCGCACACGCCCTCAGCCCCTGCCGGGGACCTGCGCGCAGGGGCGGAGGCGGGTCCGAGGGGCTGCGCCGCGGGAGGGGCGGGGTCGGGGCGCGCGCGGGCGCCGGGGCGTGAGCGCGCGGCCGGAGAGAAGGCTCCGGCGCCCGGGGGAGGGGCTACGGGCAGGCCCCGTGCGGCCGCGAGGGGAGGGGAGGGGCCGGCTCCAGCTCCGGCCCCCTGGCACAGCTGCGCCCACGCCCCCAGCCCCGCCGGCCCGAAAGCAGGTGGCGGCGGGCGGGGGAAGGGGCGCCCCGTGACTGAGGGTGGGCCTCGGAAGCCCCGCGCGTACCAGACTCCTCGTCCTTCTTGTCGAATTTTTTAATCATCTTGGACGACTTCCCAGCGCCCAGACCCACCGCAACCGTCCCAGGCGCCGCAGCGGGCAAGCGGAAGAGGCTGCAGGAAGGCCGGCCCCGCGCTCTCACGCCGGTTGGGCCGCCGCGCCGTCACTCGGGGCCAAGGCCCGCCCTCCCCGGCCGCCCTCGGCTCCCCCGGGACGCAGCCACGCCCTCTCCGCCTTCCACGGCTGGGCCAAGGCTTCGGCGCTACCCCCCCGGCCGGCGACCCGGGAGCCCACGCCGGCGGCAGCAGGAATGTGGTTTTATTTCATTGGCGACTTATGCGGACCCCTCGGCCTCAGAAGAGCGAGGCGGGAGGCCTGAGGGGTCTATGTTCACCCGGTGACCGTGGCCTTTTTGATTATCCACTGCGGGGCCCTCCCGTTGCGGAAGGCGCTCTCCCCAGGCGCGGTTCTGGTGGGCATCTCTTCCAGGAGCGATGCGAGTGTCAGTGGTTCCCGAATCACCTTGGAAGTCAGCCTTTCACTCGCTAACTTCTTGGAGGCTACGACAAAGCACAGGCACTCTGGTGAATGTGGCTTTTCAGAAGTACTCGAAGGATGCTTAGTGTGAGACGTGATGGAGACCACTTGGAGGGACCAGAGGCTGGTCTTTAAAAGAGGGTAGATTTTGGACTGTGGACTACCACTCCCTACCTACTTTATAATTTTGGATTCCTTCATTTTATCAAAATCCAGTGTGAAACACACTGCCAGTTTAGAGCCCTTGTTCAATCCTGCTTCTTTCAATGATCCCATCTGAAACCATATTGACACTTAAGAAACTCTTGCTGAGTTAGCGTGGATTCATTCGTAATTCATGTTCCTCTTTTTCTCAGAGTGTATGCTGGCTTTCTGTTCTCTTGTCTAAGAGTGTGGCTAAGAAACTTTGCCTGCCTTTGGCTTCAGTGGCATTACTGTTTAGAAATGTAAATTAGGTCTGTATTCAACAGGTTCCTGCCCCTGCAAAATCAGAGAAATTCTAACCTAAATTACAATCTACATCCTAGAAAAATTATTTCCCTTAAGTATAGGTTTAGGACGAACTGTTGATATCCTGCATATAGTATCATTTAAGATTTAACTCTTACTTGACTAAGTGTACTATTAACTATTATGTTTGCTTTTTGTGGCTTATAAAGTTCAAGTCATATTTTGTAGGTGGCGTTTTCCTTGAAGGAAATAGAAGTCTGCACTTATTTATTCTAAGGGTGAAAATGAACAGGCTTTGGGGAAGGAAACATCCTTTTCCTCTTCCTTGGCCCAAGGGTACTGGGAACCTAGGCAAAGACAGCGTAGATAGGCTGAGAGATTCCCAGGTATGGGTAATGCCCTGGAGACCTGCCGCGAAGTAGAAGGACCTGAGTTCAGATTTGAGGCTGACCCTAAGACTAGCCCCTTGTAACGCAAGATGAATCATTCTCTGCTATTACTCAGTTTTTCTGGATCTCTATGAAGTTTTGTTTTATACTGCAGGTTGTTTTTAGCTGTACAGTATTTAGGGAGTTAAGAGCAGCAGCAGGTGGAAGTGGAGTGGGACGTGGTGGCAAATAGGTATTGCAGGAGCAGAGAAGCCTGAAGAAGCCATTTAAGGGATGGTATGTTACGGACCCCAGGCCTCTGGTATCAGGGCTGTTTGAACTGAGGATGGCTGGCAAAGTGGTTGAGCAATCACTACGATGGCTCTGTGGGACAGGCAAGGAGACTTTAATGAGTTTTAGAAATAGCTTGAGGAGAGAAACCCAGTAGGAGAAATGGACCTTATCTTAAAGCCATGTGCTGGTGAAGTCTCAGTACCCACCAATTAATTATATATCTGATACACAAATGTGTACTCAGTGCTCTGAAATTCTTCAGTGGGTCCAAACTGCCTACTGGATAAAACCCAAACTCTTATTTAAATATTTAAGGCATTGTGGTATTTTTGGTTTTGTTACTGTTGTTTGTTAGTGTGTTTGAGACCGAGTCTCCCTCTGTCGCCCAGGCTGGAGTGTAGTGGCGTGATCTCAGCTCACTGCAACCTCCACCTCCCGGGTGCAAGTGATTCTTCTGCCTCAGCCTCCCAAATATCTGGGATAACAGCCGCACACCACCACGCCTCACTAAATTTTTTTGTATTTTTAGTAGAGACGGGGTTTCACCATGTTAGCCAGGATGGTCTTGATCTCCTGACCTCGTGATCCACCTATCTTGGCCTCCCAAAGTGCTAGGATTACAGGCATGAGCCACCACACCTGACCATTTGTTTGTTTTTCAGACAGGGTGTGACACTGTTACCCAGGCTGGAGTGCAGTAGCACTATCACAGCTAACTGCAGCCTTGAACTCCTAGGCTCAAGCAACCCTCCTTCTGCAAGCCCCACCCCCCAAAGTAGGTCACACTACAGGTGCATGCCACCGCACCCTGTTAATTTTTTAACATTATTTTTTGTAGAGACAGGGTCTCACTGTCGCCCAGGCTAGTGTCAAGCTCCTGGACTCCAGCAATCCTCCGGCCTCAGCCTCCCAAACTGCAGGGATTACAGACACACCCAGCCTCTCAAGGCCTTTTGTGATCTGTTTCATCTCTTTCACATACTGAAAATGCTATTATTGGTGCTTGATAAGTGTCTAACACTAGTAGGAACCCTAGAAATACGTTAAATAAATGGTAATATGTGAGGAGGATTCTCATTGTATCCTCTGTCATGCAACCCTATTCCAAGCCCCTCCCCATCCCCTACCCCAATCCCAAAGACTTTTTGTACCTTTAAGACACACAGACTTATCCTTTGGCCCTTTTAGAGCAGTTTTTCCTCAAAGTATAGTATGCATACCACTGGGTAGTTCTAGGTGGTACATAGATAAACATTTTAAAATTTAATTGTTATAAATTTGACTTAAGTGTTTCAGAAAAACGTATAATTTGTACATCAAAACCATGATGTCAATGATATAGTATTAATTAGGACAAGAATTTTTAAAAAGCCTTTTGAAGAAAAATGCTAAGTAAATAATAGCGCAAATAATACATCAATATGGCAAAAACTCTTAAAGTGGTAGGGGATATAGCTTAGGAAACACTGCTAGAGCTTTCTTGAAATGTGAGGACTTTAACAGGGTGCAAAGCTTTGTACCTCCTGAGCCTGCATTTGTTATTAGCTTCCATGCTGTAGGGAGAAATAGTCTCCACAACTACGAGAGAAGCCAGTTGGCCACATCTATAATCTTCATGGATTCTAGCTCTAGCCCACATCTCAGTCCAGTAAGCCTTTGCTTTGGAAGACAGGGGCTTACCTTCTTTCCTTATATCTCTCTCATGGACTGGAGCAAAGGTGAGCTGAGGGTACATTTTTTTCTGTGTCCGCAAAGCGTAGACTTCTGAATACTTCCCTTCGCTCTTGAAATCATTGTCAGTGGAAAACCTTAACAAAGAAAGTTCTTTTTTTAGTAGATGCTAGGGCAGGGGATTCATGGAACCATTTACTTTATATTATTGATTTAATTTGAGACAAGAATCTCATTCAGTCACCCAAACTGCAGTGCAGTGGCATGATCTTAGCTCACTGCAACCTCTACCTCCCAGGTTCAAGTGATTCTCCTGCCTAATCCTCCCAAGTAGCTGAGATTACAGGCACTTGCCACCATATCCAGCTAATTTTTGTATTTTTAATAGAGATAGGATTTCACCATATTCGCCAGGCTGATCTCAAACTCCTGACCTCAACTGATCTGCCCACCTTGGCCTCCCATAGTGCTGAGATTACAGGAATGAGCCATCACGCCCGGCCCCACCATTCACTTCAAAGTTAGCTACATTCTCAGATAGGACAAGGCAATGACAGGAGGCTGTTGATTGGTACCAAGCAGGAGTATGGTTCCACGGCAAGGGATGTTTCTCAACTTAGCACGGTAAACCTTTGGAAGAACTCTAGAATCTTCTCTCTTCTCTGTAAACTACACATAGGCTGCTCTTGTAAGTAGTTTCAAAGAAAACCACTTTTGTATAATGTGTTCTCGTAACGCATTATTCCTATGCTATAGCGCCTAACTTGCACTGAGGCTACTTCTTTTTTCTCTGTTTCTTCAAAGCACAGACCTTGGAAGATTTCCCTTCAATCATGAAACCATTGCTAATGGAAAACCTTAGTTTTGCATGACTGTTTCTCTTCCATTAGAGTGTAAATGAGGTTAGGGTCATGTAGGGAAGTCGTGTCTTATTATCAGTGTATGACCAGAAAATACGTCCTTAAGTTGTACGGCAAAGGACCAGTAACATGAACAGGGAAAAGATAGGAAAGAAAGCGAGAAGAAGGAAGACTTCACCTAAACCATTGTTCTCGCGTGGATGTAGGATCGTCCGACAGTATCAAAGGGAAGCTTGGTTTCAGCTTAGATCTTAACTTTTTTTTCTGAGGCATCAAAGGCAGCCAGGGGTTCTCAGTGGGTTTGTGCTGATGATGACTTTCCTGTAGGGAAACAAAAGGAGAGTGAGAGATAGTAAGCTGAGTCCCTGGGGATTTAAAGGCTGGACCGAGTTCCTGGACTAAGTTCTAATTCCCTTACAATGATGCAACAAAACCTGTCAGAGAGGGAAGTGGGAACTCAGAAACCAGAATCAAAGAAAGCAGTTCCCTGGAAGGGAAAACGTATTTGGTGTTCTTGTCCAAAGCCTGGTCAGTTTCCTAAGTAATTTATTAAATTTGCTTACTGGACCTTGGAAGTGAATGGCAGAGAAAGTTACCTAACCTGGGGACGGAGTCAACCAGTGAACTCCTTGGGAAACTACACATTTGACAATAAATTGGGAAATAGATCAATGGGACTCTACCTTCATTTCTTGAAGGTGGCTGCCTCCTCCACATTCCATTCTCCTTAATGAGAAGGCCATGGAATGGGATGTTGTGAGGTAATAATTACATTGTTACTAAAGGTCATAGAATCAAAGTCTTTCAGAAAGAATCTTAAGTCATCCAGTCTGTTTGTCTGACACTCAGCCTCTCCATAATCTCACTATCAAGTGGTCAATCTTTCTATACCTAAAAAAAGAAAAAGATTTCATCTTTGATCAGCTACTAGATTTCTCCCCTTAACCTTTATCCTGTAATCCAGACAGAACAAATCTAGCCTTTCTTCCTTAAAGTCCTTAAACATTTTGAAGAAATCCATCACATTCCTCCTAACTTCTGTCTCTTCTAGGCTAAACATTGCCAATGTCCTGAACTTTTCTTCATACGACATGGCTTTGGGTTCCTTTTTTTTTTTTTTTTTTTTAATCTAATTTGAGAAAGCTACAATTCATGTCCTAATGTGTGACAATCTGAAATGAAAACAATATGTCAGGTATAGTAATTGCATGGATAGATACCCTGACCCCATGAAAGTGTCTGTTAAAAGTCAGCTGGATGTGGTGGCTCACTCCTGTAATCCCAGCACTTTGGGAGGCCGAGGCAGTGGATCCTTTGAGGTCAGGAGTTCGAGACCAGCCTGACTAACATGGTGAAACCCCATCTCTACTAAAAACACAGAAGTATTAGCCTGATATGGTGGCAGGCTCCTGTAGTCCAGCTACTCGGGAGGCTGAGGCAGGAGAACCGCTTGAACCTGGGAGCTGGAGGTTGCAGTAAGCCAAGATTGCACCTCTGCACTCCAGCCTGCATGACAGAGCGAGGCTCCGTCTCAAAAAAAAAAAAGAAAAAAGAAAAACAACAACGAAGAGTCACCAATTCTGAGAGCCTTCTTAATGGCACTAACATTGCCACTCACATTCATCACATTCCATCTCCTTATCTTGCTTTGTCATGACATTTATCACATTATACGTTATCTATGTGATCATTTAGTAGTTTATGGTCTAAGTCACTAGAATTTAGCTTCATTAGAGCAAAGAATTGGTCTTAGTCATTAATATATCCCTAGCATCCCTAATAATGCCTGGCACATAGTAGGTGTTCAATAAACATTTGTTGAATGAATAAATGACCAAACTAACATATTGAGCTTTTGCTATCAGAATCTTAAAGCCTTTTTGTCTTTAATACTTGCTGTTTCTGAACCATGTCTTTTCAATTCTGAACTTATTCTCTTTAAGCTTTTCTATTAGGCTGGTATAAAAGTAATGGCAGTTTTGCAATTATAATGGCAAAAGCTGCAGTTACTTTTGCACCAACCTAGTTATTTTAAGGAAAAGAAACCCATTTGAGTCATCTTAAATAATAGGTGTTTTACTGTATGAGCACATGTGCCTAGGAACTAAGATATAGATAACTGTCCAGCCATAAGAAGAGCAAAAACTTAGCAGAGCTGGACCTCATAGCAGAAAAACTAACTGGAAAGTTATTTGGAATCCAAGATGGCACTAACGAAGGACCACCATCTTAACACAAACATGTTACTCACATGTTTCTCCTATTTTCTTCCTATCTGCTTCCTTCTCCTCCCTCTACCTTGTTCACTCCTCGCCTTTATTCCATATATATATGAGTTTCTTCTACCTATAGCTTCTGCTTATTCACTTCTGCTTCCTACTTCCCTGTAACTTCAGCCTTCCTATACTCTACTTCATGGCTTCCTCACTATCTTTCTTCCGCTTGGTTTGAGTCTTTTAGCCCCACTCTATGTCCTTTTAGCTTTCATTCCTACTGCTTCAATCTTTTCATTTCTCAATTCAGAGACCTGGAAACAAGAATCTGATTAGCTCAGGGGTTCTGGGTGTTGGTAGGTTGGTTGGTTTTTGTTTCCATTTGGGTTTTTTGGGTTTGTGTGTGTGTGTGTGTGTTGTTGTTGTTGTTGTTGTTGTTGTTGTTGTTTTGAGACGGAGTCTCGCTCTGTGGCCAGGCTGTAGTGCAGTGGCACAATCTTGGCACACTGCAGCCTCCACCTCCTGGGTTCAAATGATTCTCCTTCCTCAGCCTCTCGAGTAGCTGGGACTACAGGTACGCACCACCACACCCAGCTAATTCTTGAATTTTTAATAGAGATGAGGTTACACCACGTTGGCCAGGATGGTCTCAATCGCCTGACCTTGTGATCCACCTGCCTCAGCCTCCCAAAGTGCTGGGATTACAGGCATGAGCCACCATACCCAGCCTATTTTGGCTTTAGGGTACCAATCCACATCACAGGTCACTACCCAGCCTATGAATTTTGCTTTGCTGGGTCTGATATCCTCCTCTGGTCTCAGCTAGCAGTGGGGACAGGGCCATATTGTACAAAATAGATCTCTTAGGACATTGCCTTACTCAGGAGACTGTGGTAGGGTCTGTTTCACTTAGAAGGGACTGTTAGTATAACAATCACTGTAATAGATGTATTTAGTACATTCCACAACTTGCCTACTAGAACTCATGCTGTTTTTGGATACATGCCCGGGTATAGCAAAGAATGCTTTTCTTACATATGATCCTAGATTTACAAAAGATTATCACATTTGTCCAGGAAGGGAAGGAAAGGATGCTGCATGAATATTAAAGAGGCATTGTAGATATCAGATGTTTCAATCTTACTGGGCTTGTTCCAGTCGGATAGCCGCATAAAATAACCATTGTGCCAGTCTTTGAGCCTTAATTCTGTCCATTAATACAACTTGGAGCCTAACTCTGTCCATTAATACAATTTGACGGTACCACAATTTGCTCATCAATATAATTAGGTTCTGCACCTGAACTGGAGGGTTCACAAAGTAGGCAGGCTATTGGAAGAAAGCTCTTCCTGCACTCAGTTTATATGATAGCTTTTTATTTCCTTCTGCTCATGAGGCAGGGCAATCCTAGCCTGGCATTCATCCCTTTCTCAATGTATGGTCCACCCATGCCATGGGAAACTACCACTGAGCTTACCTTCAAAGGGCACAAATTCTGAGACCCAAAAGACCACAGGCAGTAAATTCATTAACTCCTTTGTTAGTGTATATCATTGGATATCGGCATTTCATCTTCCATTTGGAGGCGAATCTCTCACTGCCATCCATCTAGCAACTAAGGAAACACTAACTTCAAATTCACCATATTTTATTATAAGGGTCTTACTTGGGTAATCCCATGCCCAGCATCAACTTTCTACTAGAATCCTTTGTTTGCACTTTCACTTAACTCATTGATTTAATTTGTTCTTGTTAAATTAAACCTGCTCTCAAGGCTGTCAAGACCTTTTTTAGATTTTGATTCTTAAATATCTTTTTTTTTTTTTTTTTTTTTTTTTTTTGAGACGGAGTTTCACCCTTGTTACCCAGGCTGGAGTGCAATGGCGCGATCTCGGCTCACCGCAACCTCCGCCTCCTGGGCTCAGGCAATTCTCCTGCCTCAGCCTCCTGAGTAACTGGGATTACAGGCACGTGCCACCATGCCCAGCTAATTTTTTGCACTTTTAGTAGAGACGGGGTTTCACCATGTTGACCGGGATGGTCTCGATCTCTCGACCTCGTGATCCACCCGCCTCGGCCTCCCAAAGTGCTGGGATTACAGGCTTGAGCCACCGCGCCCGGCGCTTAAATATCTCTTAATGCAGTTTTTCTCTACTTCCTATGCCAATGATTTCGTTCAAGTCTTCAGCATCTCTCACCTTGACTACTGTGATATCATAACTTACCTTTCTCGGTTTTGTCTCTTCCACAACTATGAATGCACCTTTCTTCAACCTCCAAAATAGTTTTCCTAAAGTGCAAATTTGATTACATCCTTTTGTCTCCTGCCATTTACTCCTTTTTTTTTAATTTTTTTTTTTTTTTTTTTTTTTTGAGGTGGAGTCTTGCCCTGTTGCCCAGGCTGGAGTACAGTGGCACTATCTCATCTCGCTGCAACCTCCACCTCCCAGATTCAAGCGATTCTCCTCCCTCAGCCTCTTGAGTAGCTGGGACTACAGGCATGCACCATCGTGTGTGGCTAATTTTTGTATTTTTAGTGAAGATGGGATTTCACCATGTTGGCCAACCTGGTCTCAAACTCCTGACCTCAAGTGATCTGCCTGCCTCAGCCTACCAAAGTGCTAGGATTACAGGAGTGAGCCACCACACCCCACCCTGCCATTTATTCAATTACATCTTCTTGAATCCACCTCATTTTCCCATGTCTCCATCCCTTTGCACATTCTTCAGATTTGATATTTTCCTGTTCTTTTGTCATGGGTCACCTCCCTACTCACTATCTTTTTCCCGGCAGAAATACTGTATCCTGCATTACTTCTGTATCTTGTATATTCTTCTATTACTTTTACATATCTCATTTATTGATCTCTCTCATATTAGACTCCAGGTTCCTTCAAGATAGAGACTGTCCTGTAATCATCTTTAAATTCTGGTTTTTAGCTTATTGTATGCTCAGCAATTGCTTATTGAGTAGAATTTGAACTTCTGTAGTCTATAAAGGAATTTCAAAGGTTTGGCTAGTGTGATGGTAAATTCCCTCTTCTGAAACCTGAAAGCAATGTGTGTTAAAGCATTATCCTATACTCTTTTCCCATTTAGATATTCATCACTGTTTTTAGTCCTCATTTCCTGACTCATCTTTTACTACTTTGTTCTTAACTAGAAAGTCAGTGGCCAGTCTACTGTTTGTTAGTTACAAATTAATTATCTTTGGTCAAAGAGGAGCACTTTCCAATGAAGACCCCGTTTTCTCCCTGCAACAAAGTTTCAGTGCCCAAGTTTATTGAATTCTGATTCCCAGGTTCTCCAGATGCTGTTTTGTGAAGCATACGACCAGGAAGAAGAAGGAAGAGATAGGCCAAGTGCAGTGGCTCATACCCATAATCCCATCAAGTGATTCTGGAGAATCACTTGAGGCCATGAGTTCAAGACCAGCCTGGGCAATATAGTGAAACCCCCCACCGCCTCTACAAAAATAATTTTAAAAAAATTTAGTCGGGCATGATGGTGCACACCTGTAGTCCCAGCTGCTCAGGAGGTTGAGACGGGAAGATTGTTTGAGCCCAAGAGGTCAAGGCTGCAGTGAGCCATGATTGTGCCACTGCAGTCTGGCCTGGGTGACAGAGTGAGACCCTGTCTCAAACAAACAAACAAAAAAGGAAGAGGTAGTTTTCTGAGTACCATTCTCCATGTTAAGTTAGCCTCCTTCTCAAAGCTAACTCCTAATTCTCCAGGGTCTACATTTCGGGTGCCAGAAGACTTCTGCTTACCATAATCTCAAGCAGTAACTCCTTGGAAAAGTATTTTGATGCACTGTCCTTGTCTTGCTGGGTCATTGAGCAGGGAGGTGGGTTGTTGGTCATAATCAGTAAGGTCTTATCCTGGTCATACTCTGTTACTTTTAACATGAAGCTTGTGGTTTTCTTGTTTTGAGCCAGGAATTTCTGTAGCGCAGTGGCCTTCAAAGGCTTATAGTACTGGGCCTGAGCAGACAGAAAGGTATCCAGAGAGGAAAAGAGATTAGGTCAACAGCAGGTTAACAAATCATCTGGCTAATACTTTGCCTCTGTGGGGTAAGAACAGAAGCTGGACAAACGTGCTGCAAAATTTCTGGGGTTTTTTTGTTTTTGTTTTTGTTTTTTTGAAATGGACTCTCACTCTGGTGCCCAGGCTGGAGTGCAGTGGCATGATCACAACTCACTGCAACCTAGACCTGCCAGGCTCAAGTGATTCTCCTGCCACAGCCTTCTAAGTAGCTGGGATTACAGGACATGCCACCCTACCCAGCTGATTTTTTGGTGGGTTTTTTGTTTGTTTGTTTGTTTTGTAGAGATGAGAGTTTTGCCATGTTGCCCAGGCTGGTCTCAAACTCCTGGGCTCAAGCAATAAACCCGTCTCAGCCTCCCAAAGTACTGAGATAACAGGAGTGAGTTGTCACACACAGCCCTAAAATGTGTGTATCAGAAACTGTCTGAAGCTCTCAGTCCCTCTCTTCCCTTGAGGCATTCCCCTGAAAATACACTAAAGGTTTCCATGGTAAAAGGAGTCAGGTAATTTAATTCTTCCAACATAGTGGCGCAAGCAGAAAAATTTCTATGTGGCTAAACCTAATTGGCCTCATCTCTACAACTCTTTCTAAGGTATGGGGTGGGGGAAAACTACCAGGGACCAAGTCTTGCTCAGGGAGTTCTTCAGGAGGAGGCACAGCCAAGGGCAACACCTTTTCATATTTACGTCTTCCCACACACCAACATTTCTCAGGCACAACGACATTAGCATGCATTCACAAGCACAATGTTAAAAAGGAAAAGCAGTCATGAAAGACAGCCTGTCATTTAAGGTATGGCTGAAGAAGGGGCAGTCCCACTACATTTGCTTTTCTCTCAATAGGAGAAAGGTAAAGGGTTAGAAGGGAAGGAAGTGAAAGGGAGACAGTGGATTATAAATATATATATATATATTTCTGGCCATAATATGTTTTCTCAAGTTAAAAAAATCAGCTGTGGGGACGCACTTTTCTTCCCACTTCTCGTCTCCCACTTTGCCACCCCAGTTCTCAGCACGGCCTCTGGCATCATAACCTAGCCGCAGCTCCGCCTGCCTGTCCCCAGAGTATGCATACTCACAGAAGCCGGGGACCCTTGGAGGCATTAGGGACACCTGCAGTGGGCATTGGCACCACTGCTGGAACTTCCCCCTAGAGATCCTGGGGGAGTGCTTTTTCCACCTACCAAATTTGGATGGACTGTGTAATGCCGAAGGTTCTTGAGAACAAATTTCGATCTCCCGACTGCATCAAAAATCTGAAGACGATAATCAAAGTTAGTGGTTTGAAGTCGCACCTATGCTAAACAGTATTCCATTCCTTACCTCACCTTAGTCTCGCCAGAGAACTGGTCTCTCTACCTTACACTGTGATGAGTACAGTGTGCTTCAGATTTTGTACTCTGTGGTTTCTGGAACAAGGACCCCAGCAAGGGAACCTGAATTCTAAGACCTCCTGACCGTGACACTTGTCAGCGGGAATGGGGCCAGCCTTATGATACGTCAGGAAAAGCCATTAGGAGGGAAGCAGACAAGGGCAGCATCGGTTCAGACTGGGACAAATCTCTGCAAGGAGTCACGTCTTTCTTAGGCCTTCTCCATAGAGATGGGAGTGAAATGAGGTGGAAATACAGGGAAGACAGATCTTTAAAGAGAAAAGCAAGTCTCAAAAGGGCATTCACCTAAAAGTTGTGGGCACAAAGGGGCCCTACGACCAACTCTGCCAACTGAACTGGGAGCCGATCTACCCATAGAGAGAGGAAGAAGCAGCGGGGCATGTTGCAATTTTGAACATCTCTGCAGTATACAATTCTTCCAGAAGTGTTGCAAAAAATAATTGAATTTTGGTAACACTTCTGTCTACCACTTTGCTTTTTTTTTTTTGTTTGTTTGTTTGTTTGCTGATGGTAGTCCTGCGTGTTAGTGGATGGTTTGAGTGTCACATTTGGTAGTAGAGGAGCTGAGCCTCTTCCATTCCCTTTCTGCTGACCCAGTGTTCTTGCTTCTCCTCTTGCATAGCCCTGTCTAAGGATGAATCAAGGGGATAAGAACACAAGGAGGTAAAAGCTCTGAATTATCTTCTTCTGGCTTGGCATAACCAGAAATTAAAAAAAAAAAAAAAAAAAAAAAAGGAGAGTACATCATAAACCTGTGTTTGGGTCAGCATTTCTTCTTCCTTTTCTTTTTTTTCTTTTTTTTAAAGACAGGGTCTTACTCTGTCCACCAGGCTGGAGTGCAGTGGCACAAACATAGCTCATCTTGAACTCCCGGACTCAAGTGATGATCCCACCTCAGCCTCCCAACTAGCTGGGTCTATAGGCATGCGCCACCACACGCAGCTACTATTTTTTATTTTTTGTAGAGATGGGGGTCTCACTGCTGACTAACTCCTGGGCTCAAGTGATCCTCCTGCTTTGGCCTCCCGAAGTGCTGGGATTACAGGTGTGAGCTACCACACCCAGCCTGGCTCAGCATTTCTAAAGACTGCCATACCTCCCCCATCAGGAGGTGATATGGTAAGGTGGGTACAGAGGAAAAGGAACATGCACTGAAAAGTGAGTAAGGCAAGAGGGCTAATGGAAAAGAGGGAAGCAGTCAGAATGGGACAGTACTGTGAGTTGAGAGGAGGCCCTGCTATGCTCCAGCAAGAAAAGACCAGAAATTGGCAATTCTTGGCAGTTGGAGAAGGAGCAGGGAGAAAAGTAGCAAAGCCACTCCACAAATTCCCTTAGAGAGCATGGGATGCACTATGGGATGGTGGGATGGATCCAAAGATTCAACCATTTAATTTTTACCACCTTATGGAATACTGAAATTCATTTATTGAAAACAGAAATATATTACGAAAAACCTGCTTCATCAAAATGAAATGTATGACATATTTAAAATCATAGAAGTTAGGAAAAATTCATTTGGGAGAAAGATATGAAGACCTTTTCTTTTATTTTAAAAAAAAAAACAAAAAAAAACCTTTAGGGAAAAAGTCCATGGTGAAATGTTTTTACTCCTGAAGTTTTCTGAAGTATTGCATATCTGTTCCAAATTAGTCTCCAGCAGTTGACTAAACCTACAAGGTTGTCCAAATTGGAATGTGTTTTTAGTTTTGTCATGTTGAATTGTACTGTCTGTGGCTGATTAAATAAAAGTTGGCCAGGAAAATTCACTTGAATATGGTAAACATGGGAAAACAACCAAGATAGCCAATGGAGTTTTGCTACAACAGGTAGCTGTAAAGTCTGCATGAATTAGGGTGTGACACGCTGCTACTCCCTAAGATATGTTTCTGCTTCCTGGATTTTATGCCCTGATTTGTTGCTAATGTATCCTGTCCCTTCTTTTTTTGTGCTCTGTTTCTCTTTGATAACATTTGACAAGTTAACCTTCTTTTCTATATAAATTTTTACTCCTTTTTGCTTTTCAATAGGAAAGTATGTGATACCCAATTTATTAGGTATACTAAGCAACTGCAAAGAAAAATTAAACATTGAGCACTTACTAACACTCCTTACCTCTTCACCATTGTCAACCATTCCTTTCTCACATTTAGCTGAGCTATTTTCCGAAGTCTTTTGTTTGACATTTTGAAACCTGAAAAAGAGGCAGAACATCCAGTTGCATTTTCTGGCTCAGAGACCTAGCCTTCTGCATGTTGTCAGTCTCGCTCAACAAAGTTTGGGAGCCTAACTCAGACAAGTCCAATTAAGGTGATCACTAATTGACTATGTAGTTTAAAAAAAAAAAAAAAAAAAAAAGGACTCATTAGCCAGCTGCATGCTAGGGAAAAGCAAGACTTCAGTTTGAAGAGTTGAACAAGTGGGACCTTTTAGATGACTCAATGACATCCATTGAGTTGGTTTCTTCTAAAACAGGGATTTTAGATCATTCACAGAAGTGCTGTAATAGACTGCTTAAGGAAATTATTTTGGGCAGTTAGCGCCTCACAATACCCTTTAAAACTATCCAGTATTTTGAATACTTACCTGCCTACTCTTCTTGCACAGGAAAATTGCCCTACCTTGCCAGTAATTGGCCAATGATTAGCCAATGAATCTGTGAGAAGGAATATAGTCAATGGAAACTCACAACTAAGTTTCCAACTCTTCTTGACTTTGCTTGGGTTACTAGCTCTCATATCTTCCTAACCACATCTCTAAAGACGTCTCTTCTTATAACTAGGGTGGTAAAAAATAATCATCAATGGCAAATATTTCTGTACTCTGCTCATTTACTTATTTTTCCATCCCTTGCCCTAATACCAATTCTCTTTGTGGAAAAGTAGGGTGGAGCAGATTCTATTCTTTGCTATTCTTTTAAAACCATTTGCTGATGGAATATAATGTAAGATACTCATCAGTGAGATTTGGTTAATGATTAAGAGAAATAGCCTGCTTCTCCCTTGGAGACAGTTCCATTGTGGGGCTAAATTAGCTCAGAGTAAGAATTCTGTAACTATCTCAACTAGACCTCTCTCCTTTAAAAATGAGGATAGCAGAATAAGGACCAAAATAAAAGTAGAAATAGCCAAGCTATGTAGTTTGTAGGTCAACTGGCTATAGCATACTATAAATAATCCCCAAATCCATGGTTAAATCTCATTCAAGGCTGGCTACCTTCCATTGTAGCTGGCTACCAACTGCATCATTAACTCAGGTCAGAGGTCTTCTATACAGTCCCAAGTGGAGCAGGTGACCCATGATGAAGAGATCAAAATTGATCCCAACTTAATATCTTAAAATTTGTGCCCTTTTAATATGTCTTATTGCATTGTTATCTAATAATTAGTAATACAGTATAATATTTATTGTAGCATTTTCAGAATGATTCTTTCATACCTAAAAGGAAGCACAGAATCCCAGATACTTTCCTTCAGGGCCAATAAGGCATAGAACTATATGAAAAGTTAGCCCAACAGCATCTCTGGAACAAGCTGGTGCTTTCTTTTTGACTAAAAGTTCCTCTCGTTGTTGCATGAAATATAGACCAAGATCTGGTTTTTGATCCAGGGACAACCAGTCAATTAAAATACGTTTAATGAAGGTCTACTCTGTGACCAGCACCATTCGAACTGCTGTGGGCTATGCAATAAGTTAATATAAAGTGGTATTTATAACTTCGTTGGGCAAACAAGACTACATACTTGGTTTGTCTCTTTTGGCTCATTGCTGTTAACTGCTAGTTGGCCAACCCAAGGCAGGTATTCACCCAAGGCCAAATTCAGTGTCTCTGAATAGTCCACGTTCTGCAGGGGGTTCAATTCAATCCAAATATTCTTTCCTTAGCACACAATGCGTGCTCAGCCCCATTTTTGAGCCTGTATGGGAAACAAAAAAAGACCGATCAGTGCTATTAAACACATAGAAAACGCACAAGACAACATGTTGATGCTTGCCCTTAGAAATTAAGTTTATTTGACAAATGGGGGGAGATGGGAGAAGGTGATTATCTGATGTAAAACAATAATGACAAATACATGCTAATATATTAGGTAAGTCACATTAGCTCTTGGGATCTCAATTTCCTTATCTGCAAAATGGAAGGTATTAAGTAAATGATTTCAATGTGACAATTCTAAATCCATGAAAGTGATGAGACTTACCTATAAGAAGATCTGAAATAAAATTAATTCACATGTGTCCATAGTAGGTGAAAGGTGGAGAAGCAGCCATCTTTCAATTTTCTTCTCTCAACAAAGCCATGCTCATCCATAGATTAGGCCTGAGAAGCTGGGGAAAGGGTGTGTATATACTGGATGTGGAGGGATTGCTATACTTTTTGATATAGAACAAGCTGATAAGGTAGAACCCACCATTTAGAGAAAAGAAAGTTCAATGAGCCTTGGAGATGTTTCCTAAAGGATGTGAAGCTTGTGCAGAACCTGAAAGGATGGTGTATGAAGTAGTCTAATTGGAAGATTATTTGTTGTTGTTAGGTAGGAAGAAAGAAAAGCATGTAGGTAGCATGAAATCACATTATAGGAACCTTGACACTTAAGTAGGGCTTTGAAAAGACATCCATCAGCCCAAGGTCCTGTGAAGCCCACAGGTTTAGTGGAAAGGTCTGTGTTACTGTTGATAGTATTGATAGGTGATTGTTTAAGGTTTGTTTGTGTTTAGGGTTTAGGGATTGTTAGAGTTTAGGGTTTATGTCCAGCTTGATTGTTAGACAAACCCTAAAGATGATTGTCTATAGTTTATTTTAATTAATTAATTAATTTATTTTTGAGACGCAGTTTTGCTCTGTTGCCAGGCTGGAGTGCCGTGGCACAATCTCAGATCATGGCAGCCTTGGCCTCCCTTGCTCAAGCAATTCTCCTGCCTGAGCCTCCTGAGTAGCTGTGACTACAGGCACGAGCTGCCACACCTGGCTAATTTTTTTATATTCTTAGTAGAGATGGGGTTTCACTATGTTGGCCAAGATGGTCTTAATCTCCTGACATTGTGATTCACCTGCCTCAGCCTCCCAAAGTGCTGGTATTACAGGCGTGAGCCGCTGACCCAGCCTTGTCTAGAGTTTATCACAAGACTGAGATAAGCCCTGAAAGTTCCCTTTTAGGGAAATAGAATAATAAGCTTTTTACCCTTTTCTCCCCTTTAGTTTTTCCGGAATTGTAAGTCCAGTTTATGTATATGCTGAAACTAAAATAACAATGAGCTGTCAAATTGGGCAGTATAAGTCTTGGATTGCTAGCCTGCAACCCAGGCTGAAAAACAAATCACACAAACACAAAAAAACTACATTCAAAATAAGAATGGAAAAATCTGGTGTACACTACCTTTAAGAACATCAGGAAATCACAGTTTGGTGAGGAAGGCAAAAATCTCTGGCATGGGAACTTTCCATTTTGAAAATATCTTAATTATTCTTTTCTGGATTCTGGAGAGGGAATTTGTGATGAACAGGCAATCTAGAATGCTGAGGTGTTCTATGTTGGAGACAGAGAATGAAAAGGCCAAAGACAGACGTACTTAAACAAAATGTGCCAATCTTTCATTTTTTTCAGCCTATGACTTACACACACACACACACACACACACACACACACATACCCCTTCACCATTTCTTAATCTACCTCTACCTAAGCCGACGTTTTCACTGCATTCTTCAAACACAGTGAGCATTTTTTCTTATTCCTCATACTTAAAATGCTGTCCCCAATCTCTTCAGCCACTTGAATCTTCTTTCTTTAGGTTATTACTCAGGTTATTCCTCTAAAGAGAAGACTTTCTAGATTAATACAATCCCAAATTCCAGACTATAGGCACTGGGTTTTGCGCATATCATTGTATAGTAACTTGTAGTTCTATTTGCACTTTTCTTTTTTCTTTTTTATTATTTTTATTTTTTTTGAGATGGAGTTTCGCTCTCGTTACCCAGGCTGGAGTGCAATGGCGCGATCTCGGCTCACCGCAACCTCCGCCTCCTGGGTTCAGGCAATTCTCCTGCCTCAGCCTCCTGAGTAGCTAGGATTACAGGCATGCACCACGATGCCCAGCTAATTTTTTGTATTTTTAGTAGAGACGGGGTTTCACCATATTGACCAGGATGGTCTTGATCTCTTGACCTCATGATCCACCCGCCTCGGCCTCCCAAAGTGCTGGGATTACAGGCTTGAGCCATCGCGCCCAGCCCTATTTGTACTTTTCTTACGTGCGGGTCTTGTCTGCCTCCTAAGCTGTGAGCCTCTTAAAAGTGGAAATTTAAATTTTAGACATATTTGTGCCCCCCACCAAGTGCTTTGTATCTCATGCATTCAAAACTAGTATTTGCTTATTTCAATATATTTGTTCAACATTTATGACATAGTAGACCCTCTCCTAGGTGATAAGAACAAAATATAAATCAGATGTAGTTCTTGAGCTTCTTAAGGAGCTCACAGTTGAGCCAGGAAGAGAGACAAAGAAACGGTTGATTGCAGCAGAATGGAATGCCAAATTAGATCTAAGTTTAGGGTACTATGGAAGCAAAAAGGAAGGGGACTTAACCCAGACTGAGAAGAGACTGGGAGAGATTTAGAACTATTGCCTAAACTGAGCTGGGGACGATGAGTGTGAATTAACCAGGTGATGAGAGAACAGACATTTGAGAAAGGAGAAAGAAGCTCGGGGGAAGGGTAGGGAGAGGTGAGACGGGAGAGGTAGACAGGATCTAAATACTAAAATGAAGTATTTCATAGAAAGTTTGTAGGTCATTCTGAGTCATGAAGAACTATTAAGAGATTTTAAATAAGATTTAATCTCCTTATTGAACAACATATATTTTAGAAATATAAAAATAGTGTTATGTGAACTACAGATTGGAAAGACATAAGAATTACAGATTGGAACTATGCAAAGAGGTCTTTGAGAAGTCTATGACAGTATTGAAGAGGGGTTGAGAAATTATAAAGGCCTGGAGCCATTATAAATTAGTGCCATTCACTCCTGTCTCCCAGCCCTGAATTATTTATTCAAAGGTGGCCAAACAGATTATACAAGGAATTTGAAAGTTTGATAAAGACACACAGAGCTGAAAGATGATTGCACCTGAGTTACATCATGTGGTGTCCCAGGCTGGAAGACTGTGCTCTACCTTCTGAGGGCCCCAGAGTTGCCCCAGATCTAGTCCTTCCTGAAGCATGGCCATTCAATTTTCCCTTCAGTTCTGTGAGCTTTCCTAATATTCTTTCAAACAAATCCTTTTTTTTCTCAGTATTTATTTATTTCTGTGGTTTACGAGCAAAAAGCAAACAAACGTTAAACTAATATAGGCTCTGAAGGAGGGTGTCCAATCTTTTGGCTTCCCTGAGGCATGCTAGAAGAATTGTGTTGGGCCACACATAAAATAATCTAACACTAACAATAGCTGACAAGCTAAAACAAATCACACCAAAAAAAAAAAAAAAAAAAAAAAACACCACGTCATAATGTTTTTGAATTTGTATTGGGCTGCATTCAAACCATCCTCACCACATGTGGCCTGTGGGTCATAGGTTGGACAAGCCTGCTCTAAAGCAAGGTAATGGTGGTAAAGAGGGATAAAATAGGATACCTGAAAGATGTTAGGAGGGTAGAATTAATAGAACTTGGTAACTAGTTGAATACATGGGATACAGAATATAATCACATTTTTAGCTTGGTTACCTGAGTCAATGGAGGTGCAAGTTACCAAATTAGAGAATAAAGGAAATGGAGCAAGTTTGGGGGATAAATGATGAATTTTGGTTTTGGTCTATTGAGTATGAGGCAGATGTGAGGATATCATCTAGTAAGTGGTTTAAAATATGGGTCTGGAGCTCAGGAGGGACACATTTGGTACTATCGATTGAATGTTTATGTCCCCAGACTCCCGAAATTCTTATGTTGATACTGAGTTCCTAATGAAGAGGTTATTAGGATGTGGAGCCTTTGGGGGTTGATTAGTGCCCTTATAGAAGAGCCTTCAAAAGCACATCTTTGCCCCCTCTCCTACGTGAGGACACAGCAAAAAGCAGGTCCTCACCAGACACCGAGGTGCCAGCCCCTTGATTTTGACTTCCCCGCCTCTGGAACCACGAGAAATAAATTCCTGTTGTTTATAAGCCACCCAGTTTATGGTATTTTGTTATAGTAGCCTGAACAGACTAAGCTATTTGGGTAGAATTATACATTTGGAAGTCAGCCTCAAGTGCTATGTGCTAATTGAAGCCACTGGACTAGATCAGATCAAGTAGAAAAAATGGTGGACTAACAAGAGACTCAAGCACAGAACCAAGCCCCAGACTACACAAACATCTGAGCAAGAGCATCATGAATAAATTTTGTGAAGACCACAGAAAAGGAGTGGCCAGAGATTGGAAGAGAACCAGGAGGAAGTGGCCACAGATGGGATGATATCATTGGAAGGGATGCTATTACGAAAAGGAAACAAACTCTTTAGCTTAAGGCAGCAACTTTTGAAGGTATAGAAAAAGATTAAAACTTGCAAAAACAAACAAAAGCTTAATAAGTAATCCAATGCTGCCAATTATAAAGCAGATAAATCTAGACTGAAAAAAACCTACAGGGCTTGAGTTCACGGAAATACCAGGATTTGCTTGAGGAAACAGAAACCATCTGGTCAAACAGAATGTGAATTCCCATTGGTTGTCTTCTTTTGTCAGAAATAGAGGTGCAGCATTGATCAAAACTCAGGGCAATTCTCCTTTCCTACTACTCCTTGGGTGTTGATCTATGACAGGGTCTGAGAACAGCTCCTCCATATCCCTTCACCTCCATAACTTTCCACATTCAGGGGGAGACTTCACACCCCAGGTAAGAGCTGGGCAGGGAGGACACAGTGCATTTGGAGAGATGTGACCTCAGGAGCAAAGAGCAGGAGGGAAGGGCACAAGATGGGAGCAACTGTTTTTTGAAGAGTTTTGTCCTCTTTTCTCATTTCTTTTTTTCTTTTTTTTTTTTTTTTTGAGATGGAGTCTTGCTCTTCTCACCTAGGCTGAAATACAGTGGTGTGATCTTGGCTCACTGCAACCTCCGCCTCTCAGATTCAAATGATTCTCCTGCCTCCTCAGCCTCCTGAGTAGCTGGGACTACAGGTGCTTGCCACTGTGCCTGGCTAATTTCTTGTATTTTTAGTAGAGACAGGGTTCCACCATGCTAGCCCGGGTGGTCTCGATCTCCTGACCTTGTGATCCACACGCCTTGGCCTCCCAAAGTGTTGGGATTACAGGAGTGAGCCACCACGCCCAGCCTTCTCTTCTCTCATTTCTAACTGTTTATAACATAGAAATGGCTACCTTTACAGAAGTATTGATATGGAAAGTAAGTCGGTGGAAAGAAGCATCTACCCTTCATTCTTTCTGCAGTGAAAAGGTGGTGGCACAGAATGCTGAGCAAGGGTAGTTTGGCCCACTTTTGGTTCGCTCTTTCCTTCTCCCCTTCCTTCCCTCCCTCCCTCCCTCCCTCCCCGTCTCTCCTTTATTTTGAGACAGGGTCTCATTCTGTTCATCCGGGCTGAAGTGCACTAATGTCATTATAGCTCACTGCAGCTTCAAGCTCCTGGGCTCAGGCAACCCACCCACCTCAGCCTCCTGAGTAGCTGGGGTTAGAGGCACACACTGCCATGCCCAGCTGTTTTTGTTTTTTTTTTTTAAGGGACAGGGTCTCACTATGTGAAGACAGTTTGTTAATGTTACAGGTTTCTACCCTAACAGGGGAGATGTAATGTCACGACTGGAGTCACAATTGAATGTCATAATTTAGTCTACCTATAAAAGGTGGACCCCGGGCAACTAGCACTAATGTATTGTCATCTTAAAGCTTCTCCCCAACCTCATACATTTTCTTTAATTTTTTATTTTTAATTCTTGTGGGTACGTAGGTGTATATATTTATGGGGTACATGAAATGTTTTGATACAGGCATGCAATGCATGGTAAGTAATCACATCATAGAGAATGGGGTATCCATCCCCTCAAGCACTTATCCTTTGTGTTACAAACAATCTCATTATATTCTAAGTTATTTTAAAATGTACAATTAAGTTATTAATGACTATAGCCACCCTGTTGTGCTATTAAACAGAAGGTCTTATTCATTCTAATTATTGTTTTTTTACCCATCATCCTCACATTTTAAAAATTTTCTTGGTCCTTCTAGTTTTTCCAAATAACTCCAGACTCAGCATGGTGTGATAGCCAGCAATAGCAATACAAGATCATACATAATTGTACTACCCTATACATTTTCTCATATATTAAAATTTCACACCAAACTACATATTGAATTATAATACTGGCAAAAGCTTTAAAAATATCAATATTAGGCTGGGTGCAGCAGCTCAT